AGAGAAAGGGGGGGGGGGGGGGGGATTAAGGGTAAATGTATATTTAATTTTTTTATCTGCGATCGATATTTATGTCAATTTAATCAATAACAAAATATAATTTTTTATAAAATTAAGTATGATAAAGTAAAATATCGGATATTGATAAGTCTTTTATCATATATCGTTACAATAAATGAAGAATTTTGCGACGATTATTTAATGATAATAATATGACATAAGTATTTTTATAAATATCGCTAAAAACTTTAACAATTTTGAATGCATTTTGACATTAACTCAATTTACACTAAATATTTTTTATGATATTAAATATTGTTGCTAAATGAAAAATCTCTTATAGTGTAGTGTACATGAAAACACAAGTTTATCAATAATTAAAGAACTTTCACTATGATATGGAAAAATTTCACAAATCGTCATTTTTCAGTTCTTGTAATTAGAAATAATTATGATCTTTAGTTTAAACTTCTATGATTTAAATTTAAGATACAATAATAGAATATCACTTGTGAAAATTGAGATTTCAGCACAATAATTTTTGGAAGCTTAATTAAGAGTTGAAGTTATTGTTTTTTGAAATTTTACTCATAGTAAATTTGGATATAATAATATTTATATATTTAATGATATCTTTTATGAAAAATCTAAAATTTAGATCAAATTTATTTAATTCAATTAAATCCATAATTCATATTCTAAATTTGACCCTAATTACTATTTCTTCCTATATTATATGATTGAACTTTAGCCATGATTATATATTGGGGTTTGGACTCAAAAAGTTAATCATTCTACTATGTATAAATTTAAAGGTGTCTTATCCATGCTTTTCACTATCATATACACACACTTAGAATTAAAGATTGAAAGGACTTTAAAGCTTTTCACTATCTTATCTATTTGCCTAAAAATATATTCTTATCATTTTATATTTTGCATCGTATTTTTTAATTTCATGTATTTTAAAATATGTTAATTGATTTTTAAAAAAAAGTTATTTTAGCTTTATTAATGTCTTAAGTCATAATCCCTCTATATTAGATATTTATTCTGTTGATTAGATTATCAATCCCTCTTTGATATGTATATTTTAACCTTGTTGATTGAGAATTATATTCGAGGCAATAGTTATTTTATTGATATATTTGTCTTTAATAATTAATTCTCACTGATCACATGTTATAGAGTTCAACGAAAGTCCTATTTGAAAAAGCTCATATATGGAATGATGTGAAATAATGCTCAGCATGACAAATTCATTAATTTAAATTCAGAAACTGAAATCTCACCTCTACCATCAATAGGTTTAGTCAAAGCATTTGTAACACGATCCAAATTATAAGCCTCATTGAGTATCTAAACCATTTTTTTCGTTGTTTTTACAAAACTTCTTTCTTGTATCAACAAATCATTGCTCGTAATAACACAATACCAACATTAAAAATAAAAAAATGACTTTAAATATTCGTGTAATATTCTTTTAGCAAAATGGGTACAAATAAACCCCTTCCGCCCTAGATAAGACATGCACCTATTGTTGATTATCTCAACTTGCAAATAATATATGACATTCAAAAGAAACACGAATTCAAGATCCAAAGTCAGTAAATCTAGAATAAACATGACCTTTGCAATATGCATAAATTTTGAATGTGTTTTTTTTTAAAAAATAAAAAAATAAAAAAATAATAATATATATATATATATTGTTCGCGCCGAAATCAACAAATTCAACTAGACTAACCCACGAAACCCTCTCTAAATCCGCCATTGGACATCACTTAATTAAGATTAGTTCTTTATCCATTGTAATTCAAGTTTTTTCTAATTAATTAATAGAAATAATTTAATTTAATATTTTTATTGCGGGAAAACGATTGATTCAGACTTTAATTTTTTTTTTCTTTGTAAATTGAATTGTAATAGGACCAGTCATTTAAATCTAGTTAATATAATGGACCATTAGTGAAGCACCAAATAAATAGTCATTGCAATAATTATTAATTCTTGTTACGTTTACGTTTACTATTTTGTCTTTCTAAGGATGAAGAAGGGGAAATAAAATCTTTGCTTTATTTTTTTAATTACTTCAAATTAATCTATAGCTTAAAGAACACTAATAGACATTTTAAATATTGCTTTAGTCTTAAACATCAATATTTTCAATTAAGAAAATACCCTTTATAAATAGAAAGTTTGTAAAACTTCAAAGTGAAATTTAGACATAATTAAGATGGGGTATTGGTGAAATATTTTTCACTATTTGCTTATATTCACATACGACATTCTTATCACTAAATCATAATTAATTAACACAAATTGTTACCTTAATTTGTGACTTTACTATAATGATTTAATATGATTTGATGTAAGTATTCGATGTGGTTAAGTTTCTATTCCTATCGGTTATCGATCTGTGAAAATTGTAAATAAAATTAAATTAAATTCAAATCTCAATAGAAATAAAAACATTAAAAATACTTTTACGGTCCAAATTTAGCGTCAATGTTACTTAGTATTTATACTGATAAATGATAATTGATATCGATAGAATCATTAACGTACGTGCAAATTAATCTAAACACCATCATTATAAAAATAAAAAAAAAGGTTCTGGATTATTATTTGTATATATTTGAGGAATAATCAAAGTTTATACCACTTTTGTTTTTGTCACATATATCATGACGTGTTATTCCAATTAAAATGTGGTTCTTTTTACATAATTATCAAATCTATATTCATATGTCTCATCCACATTCATGGAACAAAAAAGACGATAACAATTTATATCACTAAATAGTAAAAATTCATTCTAATTCTTTATTAAATAAAAATTAGCGAGGTATTGTTATAAAAAGAATTATTAGCTACAAGTTATTTACCGATATATTAAAAATAAATTTTGCTCCCTTATATTAACCCATTAAAGACAAAAAAACATGTTTAAAATAAGTTTTTGAAATTTTATGGATTATGATTAAAGGTTAGTAGGCAATAAAACGTTATATATCTTACTTATTCTTTTATAAGTTTCGTAGTATTTCTCATATAGGTTTTTGTCCTTTGATTTTTGCTACAATCCATTGTTTTATACTTTGATTATCACACTGTTGTATTGTAGTTACTGTTCATTTTTTTTTTCCAAAATATTTTGTCATGCTTTCTGTAATATTTTGGCACACACATATATGTTATTTCCTTTTTTGATTTTCTTTCATATGTTTTCTCTTGAGCTGAATGTCTATTGAAAACAGTCTTTTTATCCCTTAAGATACTTAGAGGTAAGGTTTGCATACACACTAATCTTCTCAGATTTTATTTATGTAATTACATTAAATATGTTATTATTATTAGTGTATATATATACATGTGTGGGAGAAATGCATACATAAAAGCTTACACTAAAGTGTTCCTTTTCTTTACCAAAAGAATACTTTGGTTCAAAACCAAAAAGTATAAAAGTGGAAAAGAGTAAAAAGGAATTTAACCAAAGTCACAAAACTCACTTACTTTTCCTTTTTCTTTTCCTCCTCTTTTTTTTCTTCTTCCTTTTCATCTCCATGTTCATAGAAGAATCAAATCCCCCACCCCCACCCCACCCCACCCCCACCTCAAGTGTCATTTTCTCACATATACTTCACACAAAAGAAACAAGCCATTCACTTCATACACCTATTGCCATTTCTTGTTTTCTTCTTCTTTTTTTCTCTCTCAAACTCAAATCCCAACAACTTGTTCAATTTCCTCTTCAATTGTTTATCATCATCAAAACCCCATTTCAAGAAAATCCCAAATTTTTCTCTATTATCTACATATCCCTTTTTTCATCTCAACAATTAATTCAAAACTTCCTCAAACAAGCTACTAATCCTTTTTATAACCTACTTACAAACACAATAATGAGTACTTTTTCATAAACAATCTGTCTTATTTTTTAGGTTACTAATTTTACTCGATCGCGCTTATTTCTTCTTAGAAAAAAAAACATGGAGTTATTCCCACCACAACCAGATTTATCCCTACAAATTAGCCCTCCAAATACTACTACTAATCAAGAAGAGAATAATATAGATTTGAGTTTTTGGAAAAGAGCTTTGGAATCAAGAAAACCCCATAATATTAATATTAACAACACTTCTTGTTTTGACCTATCTTTATCATCAAATATACCAAGACCTAGTAGTATAATTAATCATCAAGAACCTAATTACCCTTCTAGCCAATATTTCCAAAATAACACAAATTTCATTAATAACCCTTTTATACCTCATCATCATAATCTTGGTTTGTTTAGACCTATAAGTGGAGTTCCACTTTACAATAATCATCAAAATTCTTCAACTAATACATTACCTATACAATCTTCTCCTAGTTCTTTTAATAATTATAATAATATTAACCATATTTCTTCATCAAATAGCCACTTTCATCAATCCCATAATCATCATCAAAATGGACTAATGAGATCAAGATTTTTTTCAAGATTTCCAACTAAAAGGAGTATGAGAGCTCCAAGGATGAGATGGACAAGTACCCTTCATGCTCGTTTTGTTCATGCTGTTGAACTCTTGGGTGGACATGAAAGTAGGCTACTTGCTTAAGTACTTCTTTTTCTTTTTTTTCACTATGTTCGGTAAATACTTATTCGCATCAGCTGTTTACATCAAGTCAGGTAATGTTTAGTTCAGTGTAAATATCAGGTGTGAATAAGCTTTTACTGTTTATATATGTTTTTTGTGTTGATAGTGCCTGATATGATAACCTGAAAAATAGAGTAATGATTTGATATGAGCGGTTAAATTGCACACCGACAATGTAAAAATTCTTTGAATTAAAATGGGATTTAATTCATATACACCGATAATATTTTTGGTCTTTCTACTATAGCATAACTTATTTTTCAGATTACTAATTTCAGTTTTTATGAACGGTTATTTTCATATAGTTATCTTTTAGGTAATTTAATTAATAGTGCAAATTTATTTATATATTATTTGTGTATAAAAATTAAACTTACTGAAAAAATCTATATATTTTGAGCTTAATTAACAATGCTTCATTGTTTTTTTTTTCTTGGGGAATGTAGGAGCAACACCAAAGTCAGTTCTTGAGCTTATGGATGTGAAAGATCTCACTTTGGCTCATGTTAAATCCCATTTACAGGTAAAATCTTTTATTTAAGGGGGAGGGGGGGGGGGTTAATTATTTTTTTCTCTTTCTTTTATTTGTCCAAATAATATAGGTCATGGGTCTGAGTCGTGGAAGTAATTGTTAATATTTGTATTTGAGTAAATTGTCAGTATCACATCCTTTAGACTGCGACTCTTCCTCAAATTCTACATGAATACGAGATGTTTTGTGCATCATATTGTTATTTGTTTCTTTCATTTGTCCAAATACAGGTTATGAGCCTGAATCGTGAAAGTAATTACTAATATTTATATTAGAGTAAACTGTCAATATCATATCCCTTAGAGTACGGTTCTTTCTCGAACCCTACATCAATATGAGATACTTTGTACATCATAGTTCTTTCATTTGTCCAAATAAGTTTCTTTTGGAGTCTTCTTGGAATTTCATTAGCATGTGTTTTTTCCAATGCTAAGTTCAATAGACTGAGTAAAATTATCTTTTTGGAGTCTTCACAAAAGGCTATTGTTTCTTTAGTACTATACTTTGGACAATAGTAGCATATATTATCATAAAGGATATAAATTCCCACAAATTTCAAATTCCAATGCCTCTTTTTTTTTTTTTTGAGTTTGTCTCAAATACTGAGAACTTCTTTTTTTCTACTTAGTAGATCTGATGGTTCTGCAAGCCTATTATAAAATGCAGCTTTTTCCCATAGGAGAATGAACCATATATTAATTCATGTAGTACCATTGTATTTGTAGTAGAAGAAAAAGGAGGAGAGAGAGAAATAGGATTCATATCTTAATGATTCATCAATAATAACACTGCAAAAGTATAAGGCCTTGTTTGGTTTGAGGGATACAATAACAATATAATAATATACTCGGTTTTAATTTCATAAGTGAGATCTGAAAAGAATAGTCATATGTTTCTGACAGACCCTAGACTCAAGTAAAGCATTACGAAGAAGATTTGGAAAAGGAAATATGGTAATGAAGAAGTTATGTAGGAAATAATAGAAAAAAAATCATAACAACAAGCCCCCAAGGCCTAGCTTGAGTGGTAAAAGGTGGAGCATTTGTGGCTTAGGTCGCAGGTTCAAGCCCCACACCATGCAAAGCAAAGCCCGGTATTTAAGTGGAGAAGGGTAGAGGGGCGGGACCATTATCCACCGAGTTTAGAAGGCTGTGATTGATCCAAATGGCGGGTCACAGACGGATTTCTCGATTTAAAAAAAAATAAAAATCAATAACAACAACAAAATAATATGGTAACCAAACAAAGAAAGCTACAAGTAATAATAATTTGAATTGTATTAGAAAGAAGAGTAGGAAGGGGGGCGGCGTGAAGAGAAAAAATCCAAATTATACTAAGAAGAAGAGACATTATGACCCGAGGGGTGTGGGGGGGGGGGGGGGTCTTCCCTCCCTTTCATTGAGCCAAACATTGTCTTCTTCTTTTTTTTTAAAAAGGGTAAAGTTGTATAATAACAACAGTCCTTAATCACATATCATAAGATACCGCAATGTTTGGAAGATCAGAATAGCAAGGAAGATTGAATGAACTTTGAAGAAATTAATATCTGGCAATTCATATAGAATTGATTGTTCTTGCTCTACAAATGATTTTATTCAACTTTCAAAAAGAGGATTTAGAGGGTAATTTTGTCAAGTAACTTCTAATAATTAGCACTATTAATTAATTGATTTTCTTAAAGAGTGTTTCAAAAAACACTTAAAATAGACCAAAGAGAGTAAGATTATTGAGTATATATATTTTTCTTCATCATATATATTAATACAAGTATTTTGTAGCCATATACTAGTCCACTTATGTATAATGTGTCTCCGTATTACTATAGTCAGAGACAAAATCAAAATTTTCATTAAAGAAATTCAACATTTATATAAATAGGCCAGATCATGCTTATGTGGTTACGTTTTAAATATTAAAACTTATATTCAAATGATCTGATAGTGTAAAAATAATTCCTTGCAGATGTATCGAACTGTAAAAACAACTGATAAATCAGCAGCAGGAGCAGCTTCTTCAGGTAAAAAAAAATAGTTTATGAATGATTGTTCATTATTATAAGGTATTTTTAAGAGTAAATTAGATAATAAAAGTATACAATATGCTTTAAAATATTTTTTGTTTATGAAGAAAAATTGATTTATTTTTTTTACCTTGTGAACATGTTTAGGACAATCAGAGGTGTTTGATACTGTATCATCTGGGGATAATTCTGATGATTTAGTACTTGAAATTAAAAATTCAAACAAGTCTGAATTATCAGTTCAACAAGGTAGACAAAATATGTATAATCAAGAGAAAGATTATGGTGGACTTTGGAGTAACTCTTCAAGGTAAACATTTATATATATGCAACTCAATTATTATATATTAATGAAGTCCATTTATGCTTGATTTAATCCATAGAACTAATTAATGACAGGATGATTAGCTTACTGTTTGACTCGTTTTCGAAAAGTCAAAAGTGTTTATTTTAAAAAGTTGATGTGTTTAGTCCAACTTGAAGTATTCTTAGTAGTAGAATAAGTTGTATTGATCGTGTCATATATATATGTAATGTCCATTAATGATGGTTCATTAATGTGAAGTATATTTTTTAGTAGTAGCATAAGTTATTTTCTAGAATCTGAAAAACATTACTTTGGTTTTTTTTGAAAAGCACTTGAATTTTAGCCAAACACAATATTACTTTAATTTTTTTTTTATGTGCAATCTTATTTGAATGCTTTTGTTAGATAAATTCTCCGCCATTACTGATAAGACATTTGAAACTAGACCCCTATACTAGGAAACTTAAGTGTCAAAGTTAAGAAGATAGCCCCCATATAAATGTTAAAAAAAAATAGGTGTAACATTTTTTAATAAAATATTTTTATTAAATAAATTTTTGACTCTGTCACTACAATACAATAAGATATTTGAAACTAGATCCCTTACTAGGAAACTTAGTGTCAAAGCTAACACTAGCTATAGTAAGAAGATGGCCCCCATATATATATATATATATGTAAAATTCTTTAATTTGGTGCAAAAAAGTTGGGATAGTAATATCATAATAAAAAGATGGAAAGACAAGAAAAAGATAAAAAAAGAAAAAAGAAGCATGAGTACTATAAAAATAATATGTGACATAGTACTACTAAAAGATTGGCTTTCTGTTTTCTTAGTTTCACTTTTTTCTTCTGCATGCATGGCCTCCACTGATGATAGAAAAATATTCTATCTTTATTTGTGATTATGTAGCAGGGAAAGTTGGCAGCTGCATGGCAAACTAGGAGATTATCCAGGAAATTTACCTTCTTTAGAGGTACTATAATATTATATTATTCTAAATTATTACAAAGTTTCTATGTGCATTTACCATTATGTCCTTGCTCGAGTCGAGGATCCATCATAAACAACTATATATCTAAGACTGTGTATATACCATCTTCACTAGATTCCACTTGAAAGATTATACTGCATATATGTCATCGTAGATGTTACTCATGCTTTACTTAAGCTAGAGTCTATCAGAAACAGTCTTTCCATCGATGCAAGATAAGGATAAGACTGTGTCTAAACCTCCCTTTTCAAACTATACACTTATGAAATTACACTGAATATATTGTTGTAGATCCTACTTCATGCTTATGCAATGTGCATATTTTTGCTTATGTTCAGAGATTAATATGGAAGATTTGAAAATTACTTATTAATTAGTTCCAATTTATGAGACATGATGCGCAATATATATGATCTAGGGTCAAACCAACTAATTTTCAATGTGAATTCGAAAAGTACTAGCTATGAAATTGTTGATATCTATAGTTTGTTGCCTTGACTATAAAGTAGACTTTTGATAATCCGTCCTTAATTTAATCTGATTAGCAACAAATTTTACTGTATAAACACATAAGTTGTTCATCGTTAATTCTTGTCTTTTTGTAACAATTTATGCATAATATGCATGCCTCTAATTAGGGGCGGAGCTAAGTAGAGTAGAGGGATTCATATGTTGAGATTACATTGCATATATGATTAAAATTATTTCTATGTATATATAGTAAATGTTGAATCTTCTTTAACGTCTAATTGTATGTTAACTTTTTCATGTTTTAAACCTTTTCTTTGAAAATTCTAGCTCCGTCATTGCATCTAATATATACATAGATAGGGTAGAATTTTTGGATAGTTGTACATACACACAACATCAGTATATATTCCTCAATCTGTCCTTTTGATTCCTTAGCTTAGCTTTATTTACACACATTTTTCTTATTTCTACTTAATTATTATTCTTCCTTAGTAATATATTAATTATTATTATTATTATTTTGTTTTTGAAAAACAGAAAAACATGGAAGCAAAATGCACAAGCTATGAAGGAATATCAACAGAAGTGAGTTCATCAAGCATAACACAAGCAAGTCCAAAGAAGCTTAATTTGGATTTTACTTTAGGAATTCCTAATATTTCATAGTAATAAATAAAAAAATGAAACAAATATATATTAAAGTTTTTGCATGGAACAAAAAGTTGTACTCATTTTGAAATCATTAGTTAAAAGAAAAAAGAAAAAAAAAGGAAAAAAGTGATGGAAAAAAAGGCAAGGAGACAAGATAAAGCAAGAAAAAAGAGAAGGGAGGGGAAAAAAGTGCACTTTCCTTTTTCCACTTATATAATATTCTTGTTTTGATTTCCAAATCAAATATTTACATTATTAAATTGTTCCTTTTGTTTTTTTTCCCCATAAAAATTGGGAGAGAAAAAAGAGTACTTGATTTTAGATTTTTTTTTAGGAGAAATATTAGTCACTACTCACTATATATAAGAGAATTTTATTATCCATTTCTTAATTTGCTACTCTTGTAAAAATAGTACCTAGAGAAAAAAATTTATCTTTCCCTTGGTAATTGTATGGGGCATTTATATTTAACAAAAAAAAAAATATACTACCAATTTATATGTTTGGCTTCTAATATTTTTTTTCTTGATAAATAGTCTCTGATAAAATTTGTGTACATCTTTTTTTTTTTTTTTTTTTTTTTTAATTTTACTTATGAAGTTATACTTAATATATTATTGTTGTATTCTAAAATCTTTGTACCTCTTAAGATGGATACTTAAGAGCTTGATCATAAGAGTTCTCGTATAAACGTTTAAGTTTTATGCACTAATCGAGAAAAAATAAGAATTTGTGATAGCAGATTTTATAGATAAACAATAAAATTTATCTCTAATAATATTTAGAAATGAATTAGCAATGACACATTCTCAAATAAAATTATTAGCTATTATATTTATATCGTTAATTTAATGATGAAATTCATAACTAATTCTATTCTATTTATAGTGAGGATAATTACAGGCAAGACTTTATGTTAAGTAAATTGGTAATTTAATAAAATGATAATAATTAACTAACCTGATGTCACATGTTAAAATTCACTAATGACATAAATAAGTTTACATGATTAATGTATATAACTTAAATCCTTAATTTAACGGCATATAGTATCTCTTTCTTAAACGTTTACTATATCACCAATTAATACTCTACTAACACTACAAAAAAAGTGTGAATTACATGGGGATTTTTCTGGGGATTAGTATGAAAATTCGCAGAAAACTTATTTTCCTGCAAATTTTCATACTAATTCCCAGGAAAATCCCCATGTTATTCACAGTTTTCTTGTAGTGTAAGTTGAGCAGTTAGAAGAAAATGAGAATGAAATATAAATATTTCTTGTTGACTAAAATATTCTAAAAATATTTTTCAGATTAACTTATTTTCCTATAATTTAATGAAAATGATTTATCTAGACAAATTAAGAAAATATATTTTCAAAACTTTTCTTTAATCTGACCATTTCAAAATAGATATCCAACTCGATATTCAAATTTCGACCCCGACCAAAAATTAATTCCTAATCTTGACTCTCGATCATTATCTGAGATCCAAATCCTAACCCTAACCACAAACCTCAACCTGAACCCAATCCGATCCGATCCGATCCGATCCGATCCGACCCAAATTTATTGTTGGAGGAGGAATGCCTATTGCATCCTAGGCATTGGCAAATGCTTTACACTTTCCCAACAAATAAAGATATTGGAAAGGAAAAGATTAGAGGAATTATTGGTAAAGGAGCTAAAAGAATGTAAACCATAGGAAATAAAAAATAACAAGAAAAAGACAAAGAAAAGAATAAAAGGATGTTATATATAGTAGTCCTTTTTATGCTCATTAAGTGAGTATATCTTTTTCTTTATCAAAATCTTGTTCCCCTTTTTAAATATAAATAAGTGTACTTAAATTTTCACAAATGACTTTCCAAAATATTCTCACACTTTTTCTTGAAAAATCCTTCAATTTTCCATATATTACTTGTCCTAAACAAACAATGTGAGTTTCAAAATCGTGAAAAATTAATTTGCATGAATTTCCCTCTAAATAGTAATATCGAAAATCACTTTTTTTCTTTAAAAAAATCACTTGAATTTGAAAAATCATTATTATTGTATATTAATTTGAAATTGTGATAAACTTTATATTCTAAATCCACTTCTAAATTTATTAATAAATGGTAAAAAATGCTTTAAAACTTTCATCTATGGAAAGGCAAAAGTGAAACAATGTACGTGTAGATTGTAATTCACTTTAATTATTATTTCCTTTATATCTATAGTAAAAAGTAAGTGTAGGGTTTACAATATTAAGGAATATGAAATAATAATTCTTCTTTTTATTCCATTTGTTTTTAGTATTGCAAAAAAGCTTTAGATATATACCCCACTTAAAGCAACCTTGACCTTAAGAAGAAAAGTTATTAATGATTGATTACAACTCAATTATTGAAGATCTTTTATTTTTATAATTTTCTATAATCTTAATTATAGATTGTACGTTTGAGCTAATGTATTAAAGTATGAGATTGGTTCACATGCGTTTAGAGTGTTGTATATATAATGGCAACATGATTTTTGGCGCTCGGTATATGTAGAGAGTTTTATGTTAGCGATATAATTTTAGAATACGATACTAATCATTTAACCATAGTTAAATGGTACACACATGTATTATAATATGATATTGGTTGGCTCGATATGTGTAGAGTGTTATATGCAAGCGAGCGATACGATCATTTTATTTGCTCAATGCGTGTAAACTGTTGTATACTAATTGGTGATTGAACTATAGTCCATGGATTTTTAATGATACGTGATTCCGATTTGTTTTTTGGCCGAATTTTTTTATGGACGTCCGTTACAACCTTATTAATGGAGTCAGTTGATCCCGAGGGGTAAACAAACGCATTTTCAAGTTCAAAAGACCCCCAATGCGGGAAAGACTGAATTTACAGTTTTTCGTGTGCAATAGTCCATGGATTTTTGGTGATACGTGATCCTGACTTGTTTTTGGCCGAATTTTTTTATGGATGTCCATTACGGCCTTATTAATAGAGTCAGTTGGTCACGAGGGGCTAACGGTCGCATTTTCAAGTTCAAAAGAGCCCCAATGCGGGAAAGACCGAATTTACCATTTTTCGTGTGCTATAGTCCATGGATTTTTTGTGATACATGATTCCGACTTGTTTTTGACCGATTTTTTTTATGGACATCCCTTACGACCTTATTAATGGAGTCAGTTGGTCCCGAGGGGCAAACAGACGCATTTTCAAGTTCAAAAGAGCCTCAATGCGAGAAAGACCAAATTTGCCATTTTTTCGTGTATTATAGTCCATGGATTTTTGGTGATACGTGATTTCGATTTGTTTTTGGCCAAAAATTTTATGGACGTTTGTTACGACCTTATTAATGGAGTCAGTTAGTCACGAGGAAAAAACAGACGCATTTTCCAGTTCAAAAGAGCCCCAATGCGGGAAAGACCGAATTTATCGTTTTTCGTGTGTTATAGTTTATGGATTTTTGGTGATACATAATCCCGACTTATTTTTTGCCGTAATTTTTATGGACACCCGTTACAATCTTATTAATGGAGTCAGTTGGTACCGAGAGGAAAACAAACGCATTTTCAAGTTCAAAAGATCCCCAATGCGGGAAAGACATAATTTACCATTTTTTCATGTGCTATACTTCATGGATTTTTTATGATACATGATCCTGACTTGATTTTTTACCAAAATTTATTATGGAGTCAGTTGGTCATGAGGGGATAACAGACGTATTTTCAAGTTCAAAAGAGCCCCAATGCGGGAAAACCCGAATTTACCATTTTTCGTGTGCTATGTACATAAATTTTTGTTAATACGTGACCCCGACTTGTTTTTGGCCGAAATTTTTCATGAACGTCCATTTCGACCTTATTAATGCATGAGTTGGTCCCGAGGGGCAAACAAATGCATTTTCAAGTTCAAACGAGCCCCAAAGCAAGAAAAACTAAATTTACCGATTTTCGTGTGCTATAGTCTATTAATTTTTGGTGATACGTGATCCCAACTTATTTTTGGCCGAAATATTTCATGGACGTCCGTTACAACCTTATTAATGGCATGAGTTCATCTACCTTGTGTGATGCATTACTGAACTTACACTCCATATACTCTGATTTAGTCTTACTCAGTCTGAAGCCTTTAAATTCTAGGATTTGTCTACAAACCTTTTAGACTCTATTGTTAACACGATCACATGTCTTGTCGACAATATTATATCATCCGCAAATAATATACATTTTAGTAGTTTCTCCTTTATTATGATGTGTCAATTCATTTATCACCAAAATAAATAAAAATAAGTTCGACTCTATCGTACATGTCCTTATCACCATAATATATGTCATAAGTACTATAAATAATATAAAATTTCAGTGAGGACATATATATATATATATATATATATATATATACCACTAAA